GTATTTGCGTGGTTTGTGTGTATGTTTGTGTGATATATGTGTGCTGTATATGGTATATGTGTCTGTGTGTTGGTGTGTGTCTGGTGTATATGTTTGGGTGGCATGTGTGTATGTTTGTGTGACGTGTGTGGTACATGTGTCTGCGCACATCTGGTGTGTGTGTGTCTGGTGTGTGGGTGTGTGGGTGTGTGGCATGTGTGCATGTGTTTGGCCCAACACACAGAAGTAACTGCAACTCATAAAGAAAATCACAGAGGGGACTCCACTGGAAGAGCCCACCCCCTGAGGACAGGACTGGGGCTCCAAGTCACCCCCAAATTGTTCAGTGAGAACTGGAGTGTCCAAGCCCGTCACTGTGAGCAGAAGCCGCCGGGGAGCTGTTCCCTGACACTCAGCCTGGGTGACACACTCCAGAGAGGGTGTGGGTCCTACCGATAGAGGGCAGGTGGGGGGCTCTGAAAGGTGGGTGGGAGTCCCACAGGGACCTAGAAGAAGACGCTCTCTGGAAGAGGGGCAAGCCCAAGGAGGCCCACGAGGGGCCCCCACCCAGATGCACTTCTCAAGGCTTTCTCGGGCTTGGTGCAGAGCCGTACCTGGTGAGCCACGTACATGCCCCCTCTTCTTGGTAATTCCTCTAGGGAGCCTGGCCCCACAGCACAGAAAGTGGGCAGCACCCTCCAGGCTCGCACTGGTGGGAAGTCGGAGGAGGGGTGGCAATGGGGAAGCAAGGCCTGTCCACAGTCCCCTCTGCTGGCTCCTGGGCAGAGCATCCTTTGGAGGGGGTGGTGTCCAGGGGGCGCTGGCATCAGAAGAAGGGGGCCCATGGCAGAGCTGGGAGGGCAGGGAAGGAGCCATGACAAATGGACACCTTGGTGAGAGGACAGTAAGACCTAAGTCTTGGCTGGCCTGTGGAGGCAGGCAGTGGCCTCCCGGGGGACAGTGAGCCAGACAGGAGCGCCAGAAGTCCTGGACAAGGTGACCTCCCCCAGCTGGCACTGGCCCCCTCCTGGGCCCATAACCCCCGCCAGCCTCCCAGCCCGAGCAGGGCGGTGGCTGAGCCAGACCATCCGTGGGGGATGTGCCAAACAATTACTTTCCTTATTGAATATCTGATTAATTATTCAGGAGCCGAATCAATTATTCATATCTCATTTAAGCAAGGGGGGAAAAGCCACTGCCCCTTGACAGAAGCTTCTCAGCGCCTCCCAAGGCCCTGGGGACTGAGTCATCAGCGGGAGAAATTGTCACAGCAGGAATGCAGCACTGCCACGCTGCTGCAGCCACCATGGCCCTCCTCCTGTAGGCACCGTCACTTGTGCATGCACACACTTGATCACACTTTCACACACACACACACTATGCACCCACCGGGTACCAGCCAGGAACAAGGGTAGAAACAGTGAGTGGAGACAGATACATACCTGTCACATAAATGCATAGATACGTACCTGACACTATAAGAAAAGGAAAGAAGTACATATGTGACCACAAGAGGAAGAGCCAGCTCCTCAGTCCCTCAGGGCAGGTCCCAAGAAGCAAGTGACATTTGAGTTAAAATTCGACAGAGGACAAGCAGAGAAGATAGAGAAGGGCGTTCCAGGTGGAGGGAACTGCTGGAACAAAAGCGCAGAGGTGTGAAAGAGCATGCGATGCTCTGGGAATAGACAGAAACATGAGAGGATGGTGCAGAGGGACGTGGCAGTGAGCAGGGACTGGATGACCCAGGGACTTGCATTTACCCAGTGGGAAGCCACTAAAAGTGTAGGGATGCCTGGAGGGATGCCGTTGGGAGGGCTTGGAGGCCCACTGGAGGCAAGGGGGTCCCATTCCTGACGCTGGTTTACCAACCCCCCCCCATTCTGTCCAGGGTGCCTCTTAGCAAGGGATGCTTCTGGGGACCATCTCAGCTGGAGTCATGAGCCCTGGGCTTTTGCAAGTGGGGTCTCCCAGTCAAAGTTAGCAGGGAGAGGCTCCAGAGAATCTTCGGCCTTCAGTACAGGGAGTGGGACTTAGAGACCACTTTTTACAGGTGGAGAAAGTAAGGCCCAGAGAGGGGAGCCCACTGACCCACAGTCACCCAGCCAGTATCAGGACTCAGGCGTGGAGCTCTCAGGCTTGGTGGTAGCCATGCAGGCTGGGGTGGGGGGTGGTCTGTGGGTGCCTGTCTCACCTCAGTCCAGGCCCTCCCTGCGCCCTGGGGCTGGGGCTTTGCCCAGGTACCTCTGCAGAAAGGTCTGAGCAGGGGACAGGCATTGACTGCCCCTCCACTCTGTCTTTCTTGGTCCTAGGCATCTCTGTCTTCCTCTTTCTTTGGCAATTGCTCACTCAAGTGCCGCGTGTGTGTGTGTGTGTGTGTGTGTGTGCGCGCGCGCGCGCACGCACCTTTCTCTCCCCCTCTGTCTCCACTCCCCCATTTCATTTGGTCTCTCTCTCTCCCCCCTTTTCCTCTTGCTCTCTCTTCCCCCTTCCTCCTCTCTGTCTCTATTATTCTCCGTCTCTATCTACTACCCATCTTTGCCTTTCTTTGTCTCTCTCCCACTCTCTACTTGTCTCTTTCCCTCCATCTTTCTCCCTCTCTCCCTCCGTTTTCTCTCCTCTCACTTTCTTCTTTCTCCTTCTTTCTCCATCCCGAGGCCCATCCACGGCTGGGACCCAGCCCTTCCCCCCAGCCCCTCAGCCTGACCAGACCCAGGTGCCCCACACCCACTAATCAAATCTGCGACCTGATTCAATTACTCCCAGCAAAGACACAGACGTGTAACCTTGTTAATATCACATTTATTAGAGGGAGGGGAGGAGAAAATTAAGATAGACTTCGTGTTGCTGCTAATTAGAAAAATTGAGACTTTACATCTGCGTAGCGCTGAGCAACATGTGGTGGTAACAGATGTGGGCTCATTACACAGCTGCACAGGGCAGGGGTGGCAGGGGGGCGTGTGGAAAATGTTCCCAGCCAGCCTCATTCCTGAGCTGCAGCCCCCTCCACGCAGCAACCCCAGGCCTGATGACACCCTCAGAAGCAAGAAGGCCGGGACCTGGGAGGGGAGGCAGTGCAGTCCAGCAGATGAGAGCCCAGCCCTGGAGTCAGATCAGAATTCAAACCCCAGCTCCATCATGTATGAGCTGTGTGGCCTTGGGCCAGCCCTTAACCTCTCTGTGCCTTGATTTCCTAATTTACACAGATACTATTGGCACCAGCCTCACAGAGCTGGGGGAGGGCGAAATGAAACAAGACCAGTCAAGTGCTAAACACAAAGTCTGCACATGCTCAGACCTCTGGTGCCGGCTGCAGTATGTGTGTGTGGAGGGAGCTGTGCTCTCAAAGCACCACAGTACGTGGAGTGTCCAGCCCCACTACACACACCTCCACCACCCCCACCCTGACAAAGGCCAGTAGAAGCCAGGGCTCAGCCCACCAGCCCCTGGGGATTCGTGGGTCTGAAACGGCCCCATTTCAGAGCTCTTCAAGCTTGAATCCTAGACTTCACTTGTGAGAGAACCATGGAGGAAGGGGAGGATGCAGTGAAACCTCTACTTTTGGGGGCCAGTGGAAGGAAGGGGTGTAGGCCAGAGAGAGTGTAGGGGCAGGGTTACCAGATCTGGCAAAACACAAACAAACCAAAATAACAAAAACAAGATGCCCAGTTACATTTGGATTTCGGATATATAGCAAGTCATTGATCAGCATAAGTATATCCCATGCAACACTTGGGATCTACTTATGCTAAACAATGATTCATTGTTTGTCTGAAATCCAAATCTAACTGGGCAGCCTTTATTTTATCTGGCAACCCTAGGTGGAGAGTCAGGACAAGCTGGAGTTCAGAGAGCTCCCTTGAGCCCACTAGACACAGGTAACTAGCATGGATGGGGTAGGGGTGGGGTGGGAAGTGGGCTAGGAACATTCCCCTCCCTGTGCCAGCCCCAGGAGCTGAGCCCAGGCTCAACCCCCAGCACCTCTGTCAGAGCTGAGCGGAAAAGGACTCTGGCCCTGGCTCACAGCACCCCAGATCCCTTCATGCGGTTGGGCCCTGGGACTAGGGGGCCCCACCTCCCACCCGCAGGGCAACCCGCAGTCAGAGCCACGACGAATGAAGCATGAAAGCTCATTAATGCTGCCGCCTTGTCTCCCTCTGCCTCTCTCTCCTTTCTTGGCACCCTCTCTGGCCCTGGGCCCCTTGACGGGGCACCAGTCTACGTATCTAGGAGCACAGGCCCCACGGGAGCCCCTTTGGGGCACCCATCTCCTATCTGCAGGGCTGCCTGAAAGGCACTCACAAAAGCAGAGGAGAATCCCTTCAGTGCATCATGAAAAATCCAGGCCCAGGGGCCTCTGAGGGCAGGACAGAGGCTGGGCCACCTTCTCCCAGACAGAGCCTTTGAGGCCTCCCAGCTTTTGGCCCATTTGTAGGGTCAGAGCCAAAGGGCATGAGCTGTGGAACCAGGGGAGGCAGGGGAGACAGAGCAGGGCCGAGAAATGCATGGGGGAAGCCATGTGGCTGTGCCAGGCAAGAGAGGAGAGGCCCAACGTGAGCTTCCACCGACGTGTCTGTGAGCTGGGGGTTGGCGCCAGCCTGGACTAAAGTCTCCCAAGGGGAGGCCACTCCACAGCCAGCCCAGGCTAGACCTCACAGCTCCAAAAGGATGAGCCTGGACCTTCCCAGAGGGAGCAGTGCACTGGGGCCCAGGAGAGGCTGCAGAGATTTATTTATTGTGTGTTGGACCCCAGAGTCCAGAAGGTTTCATTTAGTAAGCACGTACTACGTGCTGGGCACTCTTCTAGGCACTTCAGAAATACCACACATTCATTTTCCTAACAACTGGGCTGGTTCCTCTCCATCTGCCACCCCATCGCTGCCCCGATCTGATCTCCAACCTTCTGCGACATGTTCGGTGCCCCAAGAAGCTGACCTCTACCTGCTGTGTCACCTGGGATCCCTTTCCCTCCAGCTGTGGTGGTTCTTGGCAACGGACAGCACCTGTAAGAGGTTAGAAGGGACGATTCTAGCCACGGCTACACTCCTCTACAGCTATAGATAGAGGTGGGGCCAGGAGGAGGGGTCCAGGAATCTCACGGTCCTCTGGAAACATCTTCCCTCCCTCGCCCCTTCAACCTGGTGAGGGAGGAGGGGCAACTCTTTCTGCCCTTGCTAGCCCACGTGGCCTCACCATCCCTCACTGTCTCCTTAATCCTTCCCACACTGTGTAAATAGTCCCATCAGGATGTCCTTTTCAGAGGAATCCTTTGAATGTGCTATTCAGTTCCTTCCAGGATCTTGACTGATCTAAGAATCCCACGAGGCACATTACCATTATCACTCCCACTTTAAAGAAGAGAAAACAGAGACATAGGGTTTAGTAACTTGCCCAAGAGCACACTAAGAGGTGACCACTCTTGGTCATCGAAGGGCCAGTTCCTTCCCTCCATGCCCTTTGGGACCTTCTCCACATAGGCCTTGTTCCTGCCCTCCCCTTGGGTCCCTCTCTCACCCCGCAGAGCTGGGCTTCCAGCTGTCAGGTTCAGACCTTATCCGATCATTGAATAAATGAGACCTCAGTCCCTGCAGCTGGAAAGGCATGGAGGCTAGGATTCCACTGCCTCGTGAAGCTAGGGTGGTGCGGCCCCAGGCCCCACGCCTCGGAATAAGGATTATAAACCCATGACCAAGTCCAAGTCTGTTCTCTGATAGAATCCTGAGAAAAACCTAGGCCAGGCACATGATGAGCCACAATCATCATTCTAGACCAGCGGTTCTCAGCCAGGGCAATTTTGCCCCGAAGGAGGCACTTGGCAAGGTCTAGAGACAGTTTTGATTATCAAAATTAGGGGGGTTTAGGTGCGCCGGCATCTAGTGGGTAGAGGCCAGTGATGCTGCTAAACATCCCACAATGCACAGGATGGTCCTCCACAACAAAGAATTTTCTATCCCAAAACGCCTTTAGTGCCAAGGTTGAGAAACGCATGTTCCGCACTCAGAGAACCACAGAGTCTCAGGACTCTCAAAGGACGTTGATCCTATCATAGATAAAAATGCTGAGGACCCAAGAAGACTTCAAACTCCCTGCCGAGGTAGAAGTAGCCAGTATCCAAGTCCAAGTCAACATTTCATCTCCCAAGTCTAGCACAGTACCTGGCACAGCCCAGGGTGGATGCTTGTTGACTGCTCCTAGAGGGTCCTCAGCGGCCTCCCCTGGCCAGGATGAGGTGAGATCTGGGACAGTAGGTCCTAGGAACTTCTCTCCACTGGAATACGAGTCCAGTCACCACCACTCACCTTGTGGTGCATTTTCCTCTTCCCACAAGGGCTTTTGTCAAGAACACACACTCACGTACACACACTTTCAGGTACATGTACACACAATCCACAACCTGAGCTGTGGTTACTTGGTTAACAGTCACCAGCTCATCCATATCCCTCTGTTGGCCTCAAAGGGATCCCCTTGGAAAGCCTTGCACTTATTCTGACAGTGCTGCCCGTGACCTTCAGAGCTTTGCAGAAAGCTTTGTCAAAGGCAAACATCGATGCTTTGAGGATGGAAGTGACTTTGGAAACAGCTCCAGGCCACCAGTATTAATTCTGGAGAGCTCAATGGGAGAACCACTGATCAGACCATCTGAAGAGAGTTCTAAGAGGGAGCCGTATGTGGAGGCGAAGGTTTTGTGAAATGGTTCTGGAGGTGACTGATGGGGAGAAAGAGCCGTTCCCAGCTGTTTCCACAAGCACACGATCCCATGCTGGGGATAGGGGTGGAGATCCAGGAGTGGGATGAGGACTTGGTTGAGTGGAGTCATTACCCAGATAGCCAGAGGTAGGGTGAGCCAAAGGCCAGCCCGAAAACCACACACCCAAAAGAAAAGAGAAGCCAGACCCATGGCTCAGCCCATGGCCAAGTGTGGGGCCAGAATATGGAGGACAGTTGAAGCTTTGGGGGCCATCCAACACCTCTTCTTCTTTCTTTGGATAATGCCATCATGATCACCTTTCAGGGAATTGTGATCATCTTCCACTGTGATAACTGGAATCAAAGCCGTAGAACAAAGGAAGAATCTTTAATGAAGGGACTGTTGCAGAGGTGCAGACAGTGTTAACGAAACAAACACGGGCTGGTGAGGCAGCAGTGGGAAGCTGTTCCCACCTTTAGGGATAAAGGGAGAGCTGGGACTATGGAGAGGGACTGTCCAGCAGGTCACAAAGTCCCAGAGGGACAATGACTGCTAGAACTAGTGCAACACCATAGCAGGAAGGGAGTGTGGAAGAAAGACTCCAACCCCTCTCTTCTTCTGCCCTCTGATCTCCTGCCAATGCCTCTCATTGGCCAGACCCAATAGGAAGCCCACGAGCAAGTCCAGGGGTCAGCCTTTGGGGGCCCAGAGAAGGGCAGAGAAAGGATCTGGGGAGAGAGAGCAGGCAAATGGAAAACAACCAGCACCCCTGTCCTCTTTGACCAAGAGATGGGTACTAATCCTAAACTAGGCTAATCAGACCTGACTCTCTCAGGACTTCAAATCCCAACCAGAAAGACAGAAGAACAGGGGAAAACATCCATCCATTCCCATCTCTGTGCCTGCACCACAGTCACACCCAGACCACACAGATAGGTCACAGGGAAGGGACATCAGCCAAAAACCCCTCATTCTGTCCCACCCGTTCTCCACCTTCAGGACCAGGCAGAGCTTAGCAGTGAGCAAAGGAGGTCTCCGAGTATCTCCCACTGATGGCTTTATAACGGGGTCACCAGGACACCTTAAATCATGCTAATGAACTGCAAGAACCCCCCGAGTGGGCTGCTGGCAGGAGACCACACCATTGCAATGGCCAGAGGGGAGACCTTTTTATTTCTTTTCCCCAGAAACTACTCAATAAATGCTTTTAGCATCATTTTTAAATAAAAAAGAAATGAAATGTAAGGGGCATATCAGCATCACTTCCATTTTCAATTAGTCCAAATGATTGTGTTAAAAGCTATTAATAAACCAATTCGAGTGGAGGCCACTGGTGAAGGGGCTCATCAGGGAGAACTTGGCAGCCCACAGCAGAGTCTCGTGCCGCTGCTGAGGATCACTCCCTTCCTCCCTCCCCTCGCCTCTCCTCGCCTCTAAATCCACAGGGACCCACCACGTTCCCGTGATGCAGGGAAGAGCAGGATGATGGACTCCGCTAAGATCTCAGCAAAGGAAAGGCTCCCCACACCTACCGTGCCTGCTCAAACCTGGAAAGAAACAAGAGCCTAGTTTGGAGTTACACAAGTAATTGGCTGGTTCCATCAGTTCCTGTCAGGAGAAATGGCCACATGGGCCAATCTCAGGTCATCCTGGGTGGTGATGCCCTGTCTTCCAGGGATGCCCCAGGTTAGACATGACTGTTTGCAACTCAACAGTCAATTCAAAACTCTCCTGTGCCAACTCCGGTCCATTAGTGGTGGTGTATACTGTGCTGAAAAGGATCCTAAGGCCTTTATCCCTCACTAGGAAGAGTGGCTTAATTGATTAGTGATGTCTGCCAGGGCAATGATTTGGAGGGTGGTGTCATGCTGGTTGTGTATCCACCACTCCTGCCCCTAACCCTGTTGGGAGAGTGTCTGTCCCTTTGGGTCCATTCCCCAGCTGGAGGCAGCTTCCATTCCAACCATGCCCAAGTGAGCCAAACCCCTCCTACCTGCCTCCTCTCCAGGCAGACAGAGCCCACGGGACAGGGATCTGGACTCAGCACTTCTTCCCAGCACCCCACTGAATACAAGGACTCAGTCTTGTTTGTTCCCAGGCATGCCAGAACTAAGAGAAGGGATGGGACCTTTTTTCCCTTGTCCCAGGGACTTCCAGGCCAGGATTGGGACTCATCCTTCCAGTCCCCGCTGGTGTCACAGTCCCAGCTCCATCTCCCCTAGACTCATGCAAGGCTTCCCCATGTTTCCCTGCCTCCAGCCTCACCCCACTGAGAGCTACCCTCACATTGTCTCCGAATGATCTCTACAAAGCACAATTCTGACCATGAGCCTTTCCTGCTGGAAATCCCTCCTTGGCTCCCCATTGCCTCCACACAAAGCACACCTCCCAGCCTCAGCTTCTGTCTCTCCTTATGCTCACCATGCCCTTCAGCCATTCTGAACTCCCTGCCGTTCTCTGACAATATCGTGCGTGGTGACACCTCCAAACTGTGTTCTTAGAACGCCCCTTTCCTCTCCACCCTGCCAGATAATTCCTGCTTATCCTTGAAGGTCCAACTCAGGGGTTACCTGCCTCCAATGCCCGCTGTGATCCCCTAAGGCAGAGTAAGCTGCTATCTAGGCTTCCAAAGCCCCACGTACCTGGATCATCACCATCTGTCTTCCCCACGTGACTGTGTCCCGTGAAACAAACCACAAATGGCCAATGCAAAAAGGCCAGGAAATGCCCCAGCAGGACTCCAGAGGCAGGGCCTGGGCTGACCCTCACCCATGCCTTCCACATCCCAGATTTCCACAGCCAGCCAGGCAGGGTCCCCAACAAGTAGGGATGTCAAAGGATCCCAAAAGGTCTAAAGGGAGGTTTTCAGGGATCTCCCAAACCAGGACCCCAGGGGCATTTCAAGTGCTGTCCTTTGGCTACCCTTCTAAGAAAGAGGAAGAAGCCACTACATTCTGGACTCTGGCCCCACAGTTTCCGTATCCCTTTCTCCATCCCTTCCTCCACTCCTCCAACCAGATTCCAGAGCTGAAAGAAGGGCTGGCCATGGACAAAGGCTTGGGGCCTAAGATGGAACTAGACAGCCAAGCAGTGTGGCCCTCAGAGGGACCCAGCCAGGATGAACAAGAGCCCCATCCCTGGTTCCTAACAACTCCCACCCCACCCCATGATTGATGGTGGGTAGATGCATCATGCCCCCCTCTTCTTCTCCCACAGACGTTTTTTTTTGTTAGGTTTTGCTAAAGCAACCTGCAAATTAATTTAATATCCTCCTTTGGTTGGGAGCTATGAAAGTGGGCTCGAGGCTGATGATGCATGAACCATCGGTGGCAAGTATTTAATCTCTGGACAATGGATAGAGATGTTAGTGCACGCCACACTAAATTCTATTTACGCTGCCTATTAAGGGCAGTCAAGCTGAAGGGAATCGGTGCACATTACAGGCCCTAATGGGAGAGGAAGCTCCACAACAGTACATTAAAGGCGGAAAATGAATTAGGAGGGGACCACGGAGGAGAATGCAGGCAGGCCGAGGGGCTGTCTGGAGATAACTCTTCCTGACAGCCCAGCGCACACGCCCAGCCCCGCTGGTCAGATATGCCAAGGAGAGAAGCCTTTATGGCCCCTCACAAAGACCGTAGCTATGGGTACCACCTTGCCCAGGGTCCAGGGACATGGGAGACATTGTCCTGTGGGTGAAGAAAGAAAATTATCTCAGGCCACCAACCCAGTCTCCCTGCCCATTCCAGGTGGGGCCATCTGAAGGTCTGGGGCGTTCTCCATCCCTCCAGGCTCTGATACTTCTGGTCCTTCTGCAAACCGTAGGAAGAAGGCAATGGCCATAGAGAGTGGGTCTGCGGGCTGCTGCTGCTGCTACTATGACATTATTGGGAAGACCTTGGGGACAGGGGTTGCTATACAGGAGAAAAGAGCTACAGGGGCTTTGGGTGAGTTATGTGACCTCTTCAAGCCCCAATTTCCTCAACTGTAGAGTCATGATAATGCCCACCTTCTCAAGTAAGCCTTGCCTCTTCCTGGGCTCCTCCTCTTGTCTATCTGTCTGTCTCCCCTAGAGTGTCTTGTTTCCCCAGAACCCAGCATAGGGCTGTGCAGAGACAGCATCAGCCAGTGCTTGCTTGTTAAAGGAAGAATTTGCCCACGGTCACTCAGCAGGTAAGCACCTCAGCCAGGATTAGCACCAGATCTGACTCCCAACACACCTCCCTTCTCAACACCCTTACTCCTGGGATTCTTGGGAAAATCTGAGCAGACATTCTCTCCTCAAAGCCAGACAGCAGAGTCTGGGGTCTGCAAGGGGTCCCAGGCTCCTGCTTCCTGCAAGGTAGAGATTGTGGAGTGCAATTTAGCAGGCTCAGATGTGGTGGCCCGAGAGGGGAGGATACCAGCAAAAGGGTAAGGTTTCTGGACTATATAGTTAGGGAAGGGAGGCAGGGCGAGGTGGCACAGGCTTCATCCAACAGGATGAAATGCTAGGACAGCACTCTCATGGGAAGATGTCCACAGTCAGCCAAGCCCTACACCCCAGGCACCTGCAAGATATCCTGAAGGACCTGGGGTACTTGGGTAAGGGACAATGACAGCCTCAGGGAACTGCTCAAACTACCAGAAATGAATGGATAAGCCGTGGCTTTCCAGCAAGCACCAACTCCTTAATGCGTCCACAATCCTTAGAGTCAGGTCTTTCCCATCTGGGTAAAAACGACAGATTACAAACATGTATTCAGCTTCCAAAACTTTGCCGCTATCGCCTTTCCCATTCTCTCCATCCTTGTGAGTTAGGCTTTTTATGAAAATCTCTTAGCTGTTGTTTTACTTACGGTTTGGGACAGAATTAACACCCCTGATGTGGTTACAGGGCAGCCATGAGAATGTGCCTTTCAAATCTCCATCTTCAGGATAATTGATCAACTGCTATGCCCCAGCTGCTATGCCCTGAATCCATCACCACATTCACTCCCAGCTGCTGGCTGAGCAAAGCAGTGATACCAAGGCAGGTCTATTTCTAGGAGACATGAGACTGCTCTGACAGTTGATTTAGGCTCAAGAACTCCCCATCAGCTTTGCTGAAACTTTCTTGGAACTGCATAGCATTCTACTGCTTTTTTCTACCCAACTATCCTTCCTTCCTGCTCTATTTCAAAGGAGTTAGACCAGCATCATGGTCTGACAGCTCTTCCAGCCTCCTCCACTGTCCTCCTCATTTTTCCCTCATAGGTGTTTTCCCCAATAAATCTCTTGCATCTTTACCCCCATCTTGGTGTCTACTCTGGAAGGACCCAAACTAACACACCCGAGAAAAGTGGATCTTAAGCCAGCAATGGAGAAAGCTGAGAACAAAACTGATTCACCTTGGAATTTCCAAAAGCCTTGGGAATTGAAGGCATCATGTACCACTGTAAGTGGGGGTGAAATAAGGTCTGAAAGAAGATCTGTAAAAAGCTAACACAGGTACCTGGCTAGGAATGCAAAAGGATGCAGTCGCTATGGAAAACAGTACGGAAGTGCCTCAAAAAATTAAAAATAAAACTATGACATGATCCGGCAATCCCACTTCTAGGTATTTATCCAAACGAATTGAAATAAGGATCTCAAAGAGATATTAACACTCCCATGTTCATTGCAATACTATTCACAATAGCCAAGATATGGAAACAACTTAAATGTCCATCAATGGATGAATGGATTTTTTTAAATGTGGTATATACATACAATGGAATATTATTCAGGCTTAAAAAGGAAATCCTGCAATACGCAACAACATTGATGAACCTTGAGGATGAATCTTATGCTAAGTGAAATAAGCTAATCGCAGAAGGACAAATACTACGTGATTCCACTTAAATGAAGTATCTAAAATAGTCAAGTTCAAAGAATAGAACCATGGTTGCCAGAGGCTAGAAGGAGGGACAAATGGGGAGCTGCTAATCAACGGGTATAAAATTTCAGTTATGCAAGACAAACAAGTTCTAGAGACCTAACGTACAACATTGTGCCTCTAGATAACAATACTGTATTGTACACTTAAAAATCAGTTAAGAGGGTATGTTCTCACCACAATAAAATTTTTAAAATTTAAAACTACCTGGAAATAGTAGTGGTTATATATATGTGTGTGTGTGTGTTGAATAAATATAAATAAAATAGGTTAAAGATCTTTTTCAGAAACAGCCAGATCCCTAGATCATCTCCCCACCTCTTTCACAGAAAAGAAATTACCCCTGCCCTATCTCAGTAGATGAGTGAGAAGTTTTCTCCAGAGAGTATAAGACAAAGGACCTCTAGAATAAGGACACCAGGCACTGGTGAGAGCAGTGTTCCTTACTGAAAATAGGAGAATCAAGTGAACTTATACACATTAGATATTGAGACCTCCCCATACTCTTCTCCCACTTGGCTCTCAGAACATTGACAGCCAAAACTTTATCTCCAGGTAGGAGACTGAAAAAATCTCTATAAATCTAGCCATCTCATAAAGAGAGATCTAAAAATGATGACCTTTGAGATTGCTCTACCAAATAAGCCACAGGTCACCTAATGAGGAAGCTCAGAGTCAACAAGTCCCACCCACACACTCAGAGTGCCAATCAGCTGGTTAGTGTTCCTTCCTCAATTAGAATAGACAACCAAGGATCAACACACATCTGAGAAAGAGCCCTGACATGGAAGATAGAGACCAAAGCTAATAAATGTAGGGTGAGAAGCAACCAGGAGAAAACAGAAACTATGCTATTCAAAAAATTTATATGTTATCCCACTTACATGAAGTGTTCAGAACAGAGAAATAGAGGGAGACAGAAAGTAGATGAGTGATTGCCTGGGCCTGTGTAGGGATGAGGGGATTGAAGGGTGATATCCAAAGGGTTTGGAGTTCCTTTTGTGGGTGATGAAAATGTTCTAAAATTGATTGCGGTGATGACTGCCCAACTCTGTGAATATAGTAAAAACTTTTGAATTGTACACTTACATGGGTGAACTGTATGTTGTGTGAATTATGTCTCAATAAAGCTGTTACCAAAAAATTATATATAATATATAATTATATGTATAATGTCTTCAGAGAGATAAGAAAAGTGATTGTATCAAACAAATGTAGAATAATATAAAAAGAAACATTCAGAACACATTAAAAGGGTCTGAGAAATATAAAACGCAACAGTTTAAATTTAAAAACTCAAAAGAAAAGTTAGAATATAAAGGGAGATGTTCCCCAGAAAATAAAACAAAAAGACAAAGAGGAAAATAGGAGAGAAAAGATGAGAAAATTAGAGAGTCAGTCAAAGATATCCCAAATCCAATTGATGAGAACTCTAGAAAGAGAGAGCAGAGTCAACAGAGGAAGTAAGTGACTGAAATTACTCAAGAGAATTTCTGAGAACTGAAGAATATGTGTTTTCATGGAAAGAGTTTATAGAAAGGATGGAAATAGTCTCACACCAGGCATATTATAGTGAAATTTTAGGAAAATGTCAGGATGCCGGATACAAAGAGAAGATACTACAAGATTCCTGAGAGGAAAAAAACAAAACAGATCAGACAAAAAATCAGAAATCAGAAATGCTTCAGATGTTTCAACTAGAAGACAACGGAACAGTATGTATTAGTTGTCTATTGCTCATAACAAGTCAACCCAAAACTTAGCAGTGTAAGGCAACAACAAACACTTATATGACACACGGTTTCTACGGATCAGGAATTCAGGGGTGGATTAGCTGGGTGTGTCTGGCTCAGGGTCTTTTATGAAGTTATAGACAAAATGTTGGCCAGATTTGCAGTCATCTGAAGGCTTGACTGGGGCTGGTGGATCCACTTCCAAGATGCCTCACTCACATGGCTGGCAAGTTGATATTGGCTGTTGGTGGGAGGTCTCAGTTTCTCACCACGTGAATCTCTCCAAAAGGCTGCTTGAGTGTCCTCATTACCCAGCAGCTGGCTTCCCTTCAAGAAAGAGTGATCCTAAGAGAGCAAGGCAGAAGCCACATATCTTTTATGACCATCATTTCTATAATATCCCATGGGTTACACAGGTCATCCCTACTAAATGTGAGAGGGGACTGTGCGGGGCATGAATACCAAGAGATGAGAATTATTGGGGCTATTTTAGAAACTGTTACCAAAGACTGGCTTCAAGATTATGAAAGAAAATGAACTCTAAACAAAAAATTTACTCCTCGCCAAATATTCAAGTGTGAGAATAAAATAAGGATATTTTCAGACATGAGAAGTCTTTAGTTTTTTACCTCTGGTATATCTCTTTTTAAGACGCAACTAGAGAAGGTACTCCACCAAAAAAAATGAAGAGGGAGAAAAGATTCAGAAAACAGAAAATCCAACCTAGGAGTGAGTAACAAGGAATCCCCAGTAGGATGGGGAAGGGAGAGCCCAGGATGACAGCTGTGCACCAGGCTTAGAAGATAACCAGGCCAGATTGGAGCGAGTCAGAGCCACCTGGAGATGTATATATAAGAGACAGACAGACAGAAAATACAAATGTCTATGTGGAAAGGAACAAATGAGATAACATATATGAAAGTAACTAGCATACAGTATGTCCTCAATAAATACTAGTTTCCTTTCTTTCTCTTTGTGTAGTTGGGAGAAATGATGATGATGATGATGACGATGATGAAGAGGAAGAAGAAGATGATAATGGTAATGATGATGTTGGGGGTAGGGATGATAACCATGACAAGCTAAGATTTTTACCATATTATCTCATTTAATCCTACAGAAACCCTATGAGGCCGGTGCTATTATTATACCCACTTTGCAGATGAGGAAACAGAAGCATAAAGAGGTCAAGTGAGCCACGCAAGGACACAAAGTTCATCATAGAACCAAGACTGAGCCGAAACAAACTTCAGACCCAAGGATATGATCACTTTTTGATACTGCCAGAGTTTCTTTAGCACATTATCTTAGGTATACCTTGCTGCTGATGTTGCCAGCTCCAGAAAATGCATGGCCAACAGGGGCATAATTAAATGATTGGACAATAAACTGAACAAGTCAACAGATCAGTAGTGACAATGCTCCACTCCAGTTATGGTGTATCCCAGCAACCAGCCTGCTATGGACTGAATTGTGTGCCCCCAAAATCTATATGTTGAAGCCCTACTCCTCAATGTGACTGTATTTTGAGACAGGGCCTTTAGAAGGTAATTAAGGTTAAATGAGGTCATAAGAGTGGGGCGTTGATTTTATAGGATTAGTGTCCTTATAAGAAGAGACACCAGAGAGCTTGTTCTGCCTCTCTCTATATGCACACAGCGAGGAAAGGCCATGCAAGCACACAGCAAGAAGACAGCTATCGTTATCCCCATTCCACAGATGAGGAACTGAGGCCTCAGAAGAGATTAAGCAACTTGCCTAAGGCCATGCAATGAGTTAGAGGCACGGAAGGAATTAATGAAAATCACAGCACAGTGAGAAGTGTCCAAGCAAGAAATCTTACTATCCTGAGACTGCCATGCTACAGAGGCCATATGTAGCAGCTCTGGGTGACAGTCCCATCTGAGTCCAGCCTCTAGCCATCCCAGCCCAAGCACCAGACATGGGAATGAGGAAGCCATCTCAGAAGTGGATCCCCCAGCCCTGGCTATTCGAGTCATCCCAGCTAAGGCCCCAGACATCATGGAACAGAGAAGAGCTGTCCCCACTATGTCCTTCCAGAATCCCTGACCCACAGAACCTATGAGCAGAATAAAAGGGTGGTTGCTTTACACCAGTAAGTTTGGGGTAGGACACAGCAATAGAGAGCAAGAGCAGCTCCTAGGAAGAGGGACCAGTCAAGGCCAAAAGAAAATGTATGAGATCTTCTGAGGTCCATGTGGCTGTGAGGATCTGATCAGTCTGCCGTATAAAATCAGGGCCACAGAAACATGAGAGGCTGTGGACCCCGTCCTGTACCTCTGCCTGCATCGGGGGAAGGGCATGTCTCAGGAAGCCAGCACTCTCTTAGAAGTGAATTCAGGCTCCCTTTGATGTAGACAACCCTAGAGCATCCCTCAAGGTGTGGCCCAAGTGAGGGCAACAGGCATCCTGGAATCAATCCATGGGGGCCTGCTATCCTTGGCTTCCAGGTCTGGGATAATCCTCAGATGGCTCCCACCACTCCTGCCACCCACCCAGCCTGCCCCTGACCCTCAGTGCTAACTTTGTTGTCTCATGCTCCCGACTCCCCTCACTCTGCTGGGGAACTGGTAATCTAGAAGTAGCCTTGTCATTTGGAACCTGTCATCCCTGCCGCCATTTCTTTCAAGACTCAGCTCCAAGTCTCCTCCTCTCTGAAGACCTTCCTCACAGTCCCCCATGGAAACAACCACTTACTACCTCTGCAACCCCACTCCCCTCTGTCTCTCATAGCAATTCTATGTTGAATTAATGCAATTCAACAAATGTGTATTGAGCATAAACTAGGTAGCAGGAACCGTGCTGGGCACTGGGAGTAGAGCAGTAAGCCAGACAGTCATGATCCCTGCCCCATAAGGACGAGAGTCTGGCAAGAATCATATTATTACACAGTATGAGTACTCTGATGTGGTCGAGTCCTCCATGCTGGCAGCCACTCCAAGGGCTTCATACAGCTAAGGGGGCCAGGGAGACTCTCCTGAGTTGATGAAGGGACTTCTGAGACCCACACAGTAGGGAGTGAGCCAAGCAAAGGCATTGGGAGGTAGATGATGGGGAGCACAGACAGTGTTCCAAGTGGAAGGGACATCTTGTTCAAAGACCTGAAGTTTTTTTTTTTAACGTGAGTGCTTCCAAAAAACTAAAATGAAGAAGAAAGAAATGGTCCAAAAATGTGCAATTGAGAGTAGTAAGAAATGGGGCTGCAGGGCTCAGCATGGTCTTATAGACCTTGGGAAGGACTTTGTCTTTATCTAAAGGACGTGGAAAGCCACTGGAGAATTTTAAGCAGGGGAGTGACATAGTCAGATGTACATTTCAGAAAGATCATGCAGGGTGCTCTGTGGAGAAAGATTTATAGGGCCAAGAGTGGCAGCAAGGAGACCCACAAGATGGTC